AAAAGGAAGATAGAGGGCATTGTTTGGAAAAGGACGGTTCTAAGCAGGGTGAGAGCAGGGACCTGCATGCCCTAAGGATCTGTTCTATAGCCCACATGGCCAGAATTCACTGAATCCTATAGCTGCAAAGAGCCTACCGGGGGCAATGGGAAGGTCAGATATAGCTGTCCTTTCAGAGTGAGATGGGAATCTCCAGACTAGGACTCCTGAGGAACTAGGCTGTCGGCTGTATTCATTTTTTGTCTGGCTATTCTCTGCTATGAAGGTTTTCATGCGATCCTGGGGTTTCTCATTATTGGAATCTGGGTTATAGATGTTGGGAAGCAGGTGGTAACTGATATTTTTAATAATTAATTACCATTGATTCCTCAGCCAAAGGTTATTCCCTTCTTACCTCTCAGAAGCTCTGACTCTTGGCATCTGTGAGTAAGTGAAAAATTCCCAAATTACTGATACTCTGCCACCCTCTCCACATCACACCCTAGATATGTAAGCATTCAAACCTCTGAGCCCTGTGACAGAAACTTCCAGTAGCTAGTGACACTCAGTGCTTCGTAAAGGTGCTGCACCACTGTGCCCGTGCTTCTGCTAGACGTGGATTTTGCTCGGACAGGTGGGGGAGGTCATCAGTAAAGGGAGGAAGGAAATGGCTAATAAGAAAATTTAGTTTTTTTCTAAATATTTTTCTGCATTTTTCTTCTGAGCCATACATAAGAAGGGGTTCTTGTTCTTTAGAGAATCTATTATTTACTACTTGAGTTTGGTTCTATGACTGGAGGAACTACTGCAGAAATTAACCCTCACCGATTTCTTCTTTACTTGTAGGATTGTTTTCTCTGACACAAGTACACTGAATTTGTACTCCTTAGGTCCAGAATTGGAAAACTCAGTTTGTACATTAGCTTATGATATTGCTTCCAAAATTGTTGGAGACTTAATTACCCCAGTGCTCTTCGGTTCTAGCTTTAGGAGTACTCCTGAGACATTGCTGGGCTCTGGGTGACAGAGACGCCCTGATGAGGAAAGATGGCTGCCAGTGATACTCAAGGTGGCTCACCTCAACTGTGCTGAGGCAGGAATGGGATTCCTATGGAAATGGGTTTCACAATGACCAGTTCTTTATGGAAGTTTAATTTGACTATTTGAGATTCTGTATCTTCAGGATATATGAGACCCATCTTCAGTTCTGTTCTTTTTTTGGAGAGGTTTTTGCTATAGGGCACATGCACTTGCCAGAAAGACAGAGAGACAGAGAGACAGAAAGCGAGAAATCACTCCCCAGGGGGGATGGCCATGCCGCAGTCCCTTCTCCTCCATTCTCCTCTTGGGATCCTGGGCACGCACGCACACACGCCGGGTGTGAGTTTAAGCCACTGTGTCCGGGACTCGAACTGCGGTCGACTACATGGGAATCCAGCGACATAGCCATGATGCTAACTGCTGGTCCCTCCAGTTCTAATATTACAGAGTGGTAGGAAAGAGTTCATCGTTGAACTCTGCTGTGCAATGATTTGTATCAACAATCCCCGTCCAAGAACTGGGAAATAAATGTGACTGGAATTTGAATGGCACCACTATTAGAATCTCTTCCTTATATTTCTGCTACTTCTTTTGCATTGCTTATATTTCAAGTTCCCTGTTAAACTCAGTTAATTTTTAAATGCCTTGTTGAGCTTGTTAAATGATTTTTTTTCCTAAATAGAGGGCTTTTATGTATAGTTATTAAGCTCTTCATTAATCAGCTCTTTATTACCCTGAGCAGCAAAGAATTAAGGAGTAAACCAAAATATATTTTGAACAGCCAGAATGATGTCACAAAATAAATCTATGTTCTACAATGTATTTGCAATATTTTCTTCTGGGATTAGTTTGCTAAGAATTTCCTCACGAATGGTTGCTGAATTTCATGAAAGGCTTTTTCCACATCTATTGAGATGATGATAGGCTTCTTATTTCTGTAATTGTGGTGAATTAAATTGATTGATTTTAAAGTGCAATTTTTATTCCTGGAATAAATCCAATGTACTTGTGATGTCTTACCAGGTTTAAATATTTCTGTTGTCCTCAGATTTTGCTATCAGGTTACACTTTTTTTTTTAAGTCTTTTCTTTTTTTTTTTAATTGCTGGAGGACATGCATGCTTGCCAGAGAGACAGATGGTGGGGAGAGGGGGACAAGGAGAAAGCACACAATATGGGACGTGGTCATGCCACATTCCCTTCTCCTCCATTTCTCCATCTTTTTGGGATTTTGAGCATGCATGCACACACGCCTGGTGCATCTTCCAAGCTGCTGAGGCCAGGATTTAAACCATGGTTGGCTATGTGGGATACAGGTCTCTTAACCACTAGGCTATGGGGATGGCTCAGTTTTCAGGTTATACTATTGTCCAATAAATTGGGAGAAGTTTCTTTATTTTTATTCTTTAGAGAAGTTGTTTTAAGATGGGCTTTTTTTTTTTTTTTTTTTTTTAAGATTGGCATTCATGATGAACTACTAGGCCAGGTATTTCTTTATAGAAGATTTTTGTTTTTAAAGAGATTTTAGCTACAGGGCACATGCACTCATAAGAGAGACAAAGACAGGCAGTAAGTGAGAAATTATCTCCCAGGGAGGATGGCCATGATGAAATCTCTTCTCCTCCATTCTTCTCTTGGTATCTTGGGCACGCATGCACACATGCCTGGTGTGGGCTTTAAGCCGCTGAATCTAGGACTCGAACTATAGTCAACTATGTGGGAGTCCAGCAACGTAACCATTACTCCATCTGCTGGTTCCTAGAAGAATTTTTAATATGCATTCAATTTCTTAAATATTAGTCAGAATTTGTGGATTATTTTTGTGTGTGTGTTAGATTTTGTGAGTTCTATTTTTTCCAGGTTTATTTTACCTAAAATTTTTCAATTTTTTTTTTGAGAAGTATTTGCTATAGGGTGTGTGCGCTCACCAGACAGACAGACAGAGACAGAGAGACAGAAAGCGAGAAATCACCCCAAGAGGGGATGGCCACGCCGCAATCTCTTCTCCTCCATTCTCCTCTCAGGATCTTGGGCATGCACACACGCACACACGCCCAGTGTGAGTTTAAGTCACCAGGTCCGGGACTCAAACCACGGTCGACTACATGGGAGTCCAGCAACATAGCCATTATGCTAACTGCTAGTCCCTTAAACTTTTTCAAATTTTTGATATGAAATTATCTATAATATCTTATAACCTTTTATATCTCTATAGGGTTATGATATTTTTAAGACTTGTTTTACTTCTTAATTTGTCTAGGTAAGGCTTATAGGCTTCATTAATTTTTTAATCAACAAACTTTTGACATTGTTTATCTTCTCTATTTTATGTTTATTTTCTATTAGTTGAATTTTTGCTTTCATCTTACTAGTTCCTCTATTTAATTTCTTTAGGTTCAAATTGCTGTTAGTTTTCTAACTTCTTGCATTGTAGACCCTTAGTTGGATTCAAGTTATGAATTCTTAGTTGCTTTTAGTCTTCTTTTCTTACGTGCATTTAAGGCTATATATCTGACAAATCTTGTATGTCTTATCATTATTATGATTCAGATAAATTGTTTTCTAACTGCCATTGAGATTTATTTCTCACTCATTGGTTAAGAAATATATTTCTTAATTTTATAATTTATTTTGAATAAAATTCCTTTACAAGCCAGAGACTACATGCTGTATGATTTCAATTCCTTGAAGTTTTTTTTGAGATTTGCTTTATGACCTAGCACATAGTGAATTTGGAAAAGGTACTAACATCATTTGTAGCATTTTTTCAACACAGTTTTGATTTTATCATGGCCTATATCCTTCCCACATGCAAACACATGTCTCAGAGGAACATAATTTAGCCTTAGTTCCATGAATGAACTTAGTCTAGAAGTAATTTCATTGTTGTAATCAGTGATATTTATTGGTCAGATGAGCATTGGCCAACCTTGCTCAATGGGCAGTAAAGGCAAGTCTGTTGAAGGATTTGTCTGAAAGAGTTACAATCATCTTGTTAACATGGTGGACAAAGAGAGGGGCTCAGGGAACCAGTAGATGGTGTAATGGTTATGTCGCTAGACTCCCACACAGTCAACCATGGTTTGAGTCCTGGACCCAGTGGTTTGAAACTCACACCACGTACATGTGTGTATGCCCAAGATCCTGAGAGGAGAATGGAGGAGAAGGGATTGTGGAGTGGCCATTCCCCTAGGGGATGATTTCTTGCTGTCTGTCTCTCTGTCTCTCTCTGTCTCTCTGTCAAGCACACACATCCTATAGCAAAAAGTCTCTAATAGAAAATATAAAAAGAGAGGGGCTCAGTATTACCCTTCTTTGCGATGGCTCCCACTTAGAGAGGTTAAAGTTATCTTTTTCTTTTAAATTTCCTTCTACAAAGACCTATCACTTGTTCCTGTGCTTCAGAAACCAGGATTCCCTCTGCCTGCTCCCTTCCCCAATATCCTCAATCTCAAAGACATCACTTAGATGCATGTTTTTTGCTTCTGTTAGGTTCTTCCTCACTTGTGTGAAGAACACTTTGGTTTGAACTCAGGCCCCCACAGTACAACCATTCAACACTACCCATGGCACTCCACTCAGAACTAGTAAGGGCAAATGTGGATGGAGTTCCTCAGTGCAAACATAAAAGGGCACATATTCCTAGTGACCAAGTTGGTGTGGGAAAGCTGTAGTTAATTAGGGAGATTTTAAGTCTTTCTGTCAGAGAAGATTCTAACTAGTAAATACCACTCTTTACTTTCCCCAGGAAACTTCCTGATAAACTTCATCTTCCAGTTTGATTCCAGAGTATAGTATGAAAGTCTTTTAGTTCATCAAAACTTAATGCCGATACATTGGCAAGATTTTCTGCCATCATTTAGAATGCTGCCCACAGGTCTCCTGCAAGCTACCTCATGGTCCCACCCCAAACAGGTCAGGGGTTGATACCTGTCATTTTCAACACCCACAATTACTCTAAAACACCTTCTTGTCTTCCAGAGATCTGACTACAGCTGCATATTCTAAGGTCAAACTAATGAGACTGGTGTTCTGGTGCAGTCTTTGACAACGTTCTTACAGTGAATGATGAACCACCAAAACTTCTGAGACAGAAACCTTCAGAAGCCATGCTTACCTTTACTGGGAAAATGTGCTCGTCTGTCAGTATGGACACGACACAGTCCAGCTTCTTCAAGGCAGTGTTTCACTGCAAGGTATGTTTAAAATGCCCCTCCAAAGTGCTTCTGAATATATCATCTACATTCGAGAGCATACTAGGAAGTTTACAATTCAAAATTCTCCCATCTGTTGAAAGCTGTCAGGGCTCTAGAGATAAAAACAAGCATTTTAAATGAAAATTCCAATTGAGACAAACATTTGATGACTTTTATTTTTCTTGTCTTGTTAAGCATGTGTTTCTGGTGATACACACCTGTTAAATCCAGCCCTAAAAATGACTGGCTCCTTACCAAGTTGTTCTAAAATATCTTGTATTGGTCATTACTTGTCCATTAGTTCAACATCATATAAACCAGTCACACTATAAAGCTTCCAGATTGCTCATGTCACCTCAGATGAAAATGCATTCAAACCCTGAGACTCAAATACGGAGCTACAATATAGTTTAAATGGTCTGTTCCATCATTTATGCTTGACCTAGAACTCTTCTTGAGTAAGTGTTCCTTAAGGCATGGGCATGCTCTCTGTGCTGCAGCTCATGTAAGAATGTCCTTATCTGAGATTTTCCTTTGTGTGTATCAACTTTTTATGCACTGGGAAATCACTGAATACAAAGGTATCTATCTTAGTTCCCCATCATCCTCTTTCAGCCCCAACACACATGCTCT